TCCGATTATAAATATTTGCTGTCTGTTGATTTGTGCAACAATATACATTAAAAATCAATACATCCAATTATTGAAACAATTTATATTCTGGAGCTTCTCTTTACAGCCAGAAAGGTTAGCAATGTTGGCCTTAATTCACCAGTATATTACTGCAGTTTTACATCCAACAGAGTTACATCAGAATAAACTGGAGTAACACAGACGTGCCATCATTTTTAAATGAAAAATTCTCGAACCCCAAGAAAACAGCGCTACGATCCCCTTTGAGATCATAGTCTTGAGAATCAGTGACCAAGGAAGCTGAAATGTTGAAAATGCATCCTGGTATATGGGGAAGACAGCTCCTATTTGAATGTAGAATGGAAGCAGGCCTGACTCAGAGTTGTAAAGATAAGGTTTTGTTTGTTTTTTTTAAAACGTAAATAGAAGTCTCTTGTGTTCATCATGCATTCACAGCAAGAGCTATATTCTCTGTGGCCTACTCAGGACCAGCTCTGGCTTTTTTGTCGCCCTAGGCAAAAAAGCCACCCGCCGCCCCAGCGCGGCAGGGGAGGGCGCCGAGCCCGGCCGCGGGCCCGCAATCCCCGACCGGCCGGAGCGCCGGGGGGAGGGTGGCAAGCCCACCGCGGCTCCGCTCTCCCCGGTGGCCAGAGCGCCGGGAGGAGGGAGGAGAGCCTGGCTGGGGCTCTCCGCTCTCCCCGGCGGACAGAGCGCCAGGGGGAGGGCAGAGAGCCCCTGGAGGCCAGAGAGCTGGGGGGAGAGCGGCGAGCCCGCCGCGGCTTTCCGCTCTCCCCGACTGGCCAGAGGACTGGGGGGAGGGCGGCGAGCCCGGCCGGGGCCCTGCTCTCCCCGGCAGCCGGAGTGCCGCGGGGAGGGCAGCGAGCCCAGTTGCAGCCCCGCTCTCAGACCGGAGTGCCCCGCCGCGCTGCCCCCCTCCAGGCGCCGCCCCAAGCACATGCTTGGTGGGCTGGTGCCTGGAGCCGGCCCTGGGCCTACTCCCCATCATGAGATTTGACCTCCCCCTGGGCAGAATCAGTCTTACAGTAACTAGACATCTTAGGTAGTTATATGGCTCCCATCACTGTAGCATCTGATTGCCTCATAAGCTAGTGATTGTTTCCATTTTGTAGATGGGAATTGAGGCACAGAAAGACTAAGTTACTTGACCAAGGTCACACAGAGAGTCTGGGACAGAGCAGAGACAAGGTTAGTGCCCTAGCCCCTGGACCATCCTTCCA